ATAAGTAGCAGAGCAAAGATAGGAACTTGGGTCTTTCTGCTTACATTATCTAGGCTTACTCCATCCCCCCCTTCCCTGCCCCATTATTCACTTAATAGAACTCTTTCCCCATACTTCTTATTAATACCATATTCTTCTTTCCTACTATCCTTTTTTTGCTTGCCTTTTTTTCTCAGAGGAAGAAGTGTTCCTTCTCCCTATGGCTAGATTAGCCTCTCCCCTGATGATCTTGGTGTTATTCTTCTGTCTTCTTTGGGACTTTGCTCTATCAATCATTCAGGCTCTTGAATTGTGAATTTCTTCTTTTCACTTTAGCATTATGAGTAAACTCAAGTCATGCCTGACACCCCCACCCTTACCCTTGATCCTGATAACTCTTTAAGCTCTTCCCTCCTTTATTACATCTACCAAGAGACTTCTAGAAAACACAGCTACGTTTGCTATTTTCCTCTTAATTGAAATTGCTCTCTTTAAAGTCTCTGAGTGGGGTGGGGGTGGATGGCGGTGCCTGGGTGGTTCAGCAGGTGAAGCATCTGCCTTTCACCTCAGGTCATGATCTCAGGGTCCTGGGATGGACCCCTCTTCGGTGGGAAATCTGCTTCTCCCTCTCCCTCTGTCCTTTCCCCCGCTCCTTCTCTCTCTGTTACTCTCTCTCTCTCAAATGAATAAATAAAATCTTTAAAAAAGTCCCTGAGTGGGGAGAGGCATTGCAACCTTTCTCACCCAAAAGAGGAGGAGATATTCCATTGTGTTACAGGTTCTATTCCTGGTTGGGTCATGGTTATTAGTGGACAGGATCGATGTGTGTTAAAATATCACCCGTGACTTGTGCTTTCTTTTGTGTTTCCTGTTTCCTGTCTCCCTGTAGTAAGCAGATCTAGATAGGGCATTAGTCTAGTGGGGCATGCTGATCGTCTTTTTTCTTACCCTGCATTCTTCCCTCCCTCATCCCAACTTTCCTACTCCTTAGAGCAAGTTGAAGAAAGGCAAGATTTTGGGGGGACCTCCTAAGCACCTATTGTTATATTTCAAAACCATGCCAAGAGACCCACACTTTTGTACCTATTCACAATATAGTATGTTTATTCTGGTGCTGCAATTGTCTATTATATGTACAGAAAGGAAGAATGGTCAATAGGGCAGGATTCTGGCATTACTGGGTTTCTGAACATAAGAGCATCAAAACAACATTCTGATTCTCAGCAGGCACATTTCACCCCCCAGCTTTATTGTGGCATGATTGATAAATAAAAACTGTATATGTTTAAGGTGTACCATGTGATGTTTTGATATGCCTATACATTGTGAAATAATGACCACAATGAAGCTAATTAGCATATAGTATATTCATCACCTAACAGGTTTTTGTGTGTGTGTGTGTGAAAACACTTAAGATATACTCTATTAGCAAATTTAAAGTATACAACATATTAACTATTAACTATAGTCATGGTAGTAACATTAGGTCTTCACTGTTGATTTTATCATAGTAATATTCAATGATTTCATATGAATTTTTATTTTCTTTGATGTCTATGCAATATGTTTGATTCTCTTAGCTACTCTCTTATTCTTGAAATGCTTTACTTGGTTTTTATGCCATGTCATTGTACTAGCTACCTAGAGTAACTCAAATCTGTTGGTTTTATGGTCCAGTATTTCTTTACTTGTCTCCTGGCAGATTTCACAACCTCAGCCATATGATTTACCTCCACTCATAGCTCAAGATGCGGGCAATGATAGGCCCTAACTGGTCAGCAAGCGATCTCTCAGCCATGGTAATTGGGTCAAGGATGCGCAATTGACAGATCTAATTGGATACTATACAATAAGTTTTCGAGGACTTCAGAGAAAGAAACCTTTTTTATGACCCTTAGACATGGGTGGATATAGAGTTTGGAGCTTGCTGTAGCCATGTGGCCACCATGTGGAATTTGAAAATGGAGTTTGAAAATGGAATTTTAAAGTGGAGAGATGGAGCAAAGTCTCTTCATGGTGACATCCTGGAGTTTGAGTCCTACATCGAGCTACTTTTCAGAGACAGGAACCAGTAAGTCTCTCTCCCCCCCATGATTTTGGCTTAAACCAGTTTGATTGGGTTTTTTTTCTCCTTTGCAAACTAAATAATGCAAAAACAAAACAACCTCTGCATTTTATTGTGTACATATAAATGCATACATATAAATTCATAGGGAGATTTCTAGAAAGATACACATCAAAGTGGTAGGAGTGGTTATCTCTGAGGAAAGGGGGTTATTATGGCAGGAGGGATAATTAGGAAGAGATTTATGTGTTTTTTCTTAGACTGCTTCACAACCAGGATCAATCACTCATAAAATTAAAAATAAAGATTCAATAAACACAAAGACAACACTCTGCTACTACCCCCACTACTCCCTTCCAACAACAACTTCTGTTGAATTAGTAACCGATATATTGGTCTGATATTCAGGATCTAGAGTGGTGTAACTAAAACCTCTTCTTCCTCTCTTCCTTTTCTTTTTTTAAAGAATTTATTTCTTTATTTGACAGAGAGAGAGCAAGCACAAGCGGGGGCAGGGAACAGAGGGAGAGGGAGAAGCAGACCTCCTGCTGAGCAGGGAGCCCAACATGGGGCCCGATCCCAGAATCCTGGGATCATGACTTGAGTGGAAGGCAGGTGCTTACCTGACTGAGCCACCCAGGTGCCCCTTCTTTCCTCTTCTATGGCAAGTTCTTAGTGTTCCTGGAGGTTTGTAAAGCAAATGTACTTAAAACAGGGGCTTTAGAACTTACCTTGCTAACTATTCATGATGCTTATAATTATTATTTACTCTGTAATGACAACCAATTCTATCTCAAAATATGTTTTCCTGCTCACTCTAGTCAATGAGTAGTTGCTGCACCATTTGTCTGCTCTGCAAATAATAATAATAATAAAAAACCAAGGCACAAACTAATCTAGAGCTTTGTTCCAAGTTAAACAGTAAAACAGCGATAGTGATGGGACTCATGTCTTTTGAGTCTCAGCTGATGAGCTTTCCATCTCACCACAATCTGCAGCTGGGGCAGGATTCAGGGAACTCCAGTTAGGACTCCGCTCTGGTGTAAAATGAAGTTGGCTCCCTCCAACACTGAGGAGAACTCTGCTTAACTCGCTGATGCCTTTTTTTTCATGTCATATTTCTTTTGAGATATAACCTGACCTTAGATATATAAATGCCCTGATGATACAGAACAGAACCATTTTAAGTAGTTTAGTGTTCTGTGACACAAAACCTCAATTTCCAGCAAAGAACTCTCAGGAGCACTCACTACACCTGCTTGGAGTAAAAGGCAGTTTGTTGCAGCTCAGGAAGAAGAACTGTTAACAGGATTAGCTGATGCTCATCTGGTGTGGCGGTCTCTTTAAAAGTGGTGAGCCAACTCACCACCAGGGGGCGCAGGTTTTCTATAGTAAATGCGGAAAAAAGATGCGCTCTCACCTGAATCTTTCCCGAAGTCTGAATATTAAAGAGTTCATTGCTCCGGAGCTAAAAGCTCTCTGTTTAATTGATCCCTGGGAATGATGATAGAGCCTTGCTTTAAAGCCACACAATCAGTTTAAACAGTTAAACCCTCTGAGCTCATTCATTCATTTTTCCTGGTTGCTGGAAAAGAAAGTGCTATATTATGGAGATAATCATGACAGATAATCCAAATGAAAGCAATTTTGACAAATTCTAATAAAACTTTTTGTTGAAACAGGGATGACAAAATCCTTTTCTCTAAAAGGGAAATAGTTTAGACTGCATGAAAAATAGGCCTCAGGCTAAGAATCTTTTGCTCAAATAAAGGAAATAAGAGCCCTGGAATTGTAGGAAATAGAATTATATGCTGCTTTAACTCATGCCCTCAGCCTGAAGAACGAAAGCAAATTAGAGAGACAAGGTAATCTTTCTCTTCTGAAGTGGAACTGTATAAAATGATTTACAAATGACTTAAAGTGGAGGGGATTCAACAACAGGCAATTAATTCAACAGTTTAAAAAAAATCGGTCGCAAATAATGCCATCTTTGCTTTGTTTCAAACAAATAAGGCACATCCTTTTTTTGGTGAGCATGTTGGGGGAGGGAGGTGGAGGTTGCCTATTAAATCACAGATCGGATTCTAGGGGTTTAATTTCTACCCGTGGGAAGCACCTGGTTATACACGAGTGGAATGCATACATGTAGACTTTCTTTTACATATCAGGGATTCGTGCAGGATTTTGAGATTCGCCTGGGGAGATACTTTATCTCTGTTCTCAAAGAATTAAGATGTACCATAGGTTTACAATAAGCATAAATTGAGGAGGGACTGGCAATGAGGGGAGACTGCTTATAGAGGTGGGAGAACACAGCTCTGAATGAGAACAAACTCCTTTATGTCACAGTATTATGAAAGAAAGAAGGCTTGCTATGTACCATACCAGTATATATTTTCCTAGGCCCTTTCCAGCTTTGGCCATCCCCAGGTCCTTAGAAGGCCGATCAGGATGTTTTAAGGGGTTCTCTCCCTAGCCTCCCACACCTATTAACTTGGCATTCCCACATTGGCCTGCTCCTCCGCTGCAGCCCCCAGGCCACGGTTAATTCCTTACGGATGCCAGGACCCTAAATTAAGAAGCCTCGGTCAGAGGTCGACCCAGACCTACGGTAGGGTGGGGTTTAGAGGTCTCGGGCTGTCCGCGCCTGGCCCCACCCAGGGAGGGGGTGGAGCGTCTCGCGGCCCTGCCCCGCAGGCCCGGGGTGCACGTGACCCGCGGCCCCGCCTCCCGCCCGCTCCGCAGCGCCAGCTCGGCAGGCGCGGGGCGTGAGTCTCGAGTGAGACCCGCCAGGCTCCTACTCCGCAGCGCCGGAGCTCGGCGGGCAGCAACTTTCTCCCCGGAGCGGCCGCGGCGGCGGCTGCTGCCGTGGCAGCCGGAGCGGGAGCCGGGAGGAGGAAGGCGGCGGCCGTAGCTCCTGCCCACTCGGGCTGTCCAGCCCTCGGAGACCGCCGGCCCGCCGAGCCTCGCCGCCCCCCACCCGGGAAGTCCCGGGCCCCTGCCCTATGTCCCGCAAGGCGAGCGAGAATGTGGAGTACACGCTGCGGAGCCTGAGCAGCCTCATGGGCGAGCGGCGCAGGAAGCAGCAGGAGCCGGACGCGGCGAGCGCGGCCGGGGAGCGCAGTCTCCTGGCGGCCGCCGAGTCGAGCGCCAGCCTGCAGAGCGCGGGCGCGGGCGGCGGCGGCGTCGGGGACCTGGAGCGCGCGGCGCGGCGGCAGTTCCAGCAGGACGAGACCCCCGCCTTCGTGTACGTGGTGGCCGTCTTCTCCGCGCTGGGCGGCTTCCTGTTCGGCTATGACACCGGCGTGGTGTCGGGGGCCATGCTGCTGCTCAAGCGGCAGCTCAGCCTGGACGCGCTGTGGCAGGAGCTGCTCGTGTCCAGCACGGTGGGGGCGGCCGCTGTCTCGGCGCTGGCCGGCGGGGCCCTCAACGGCGTCTTCGGCCGCCGCGCCGCCATCCTGCTGGCCAGTGCCCTCTTCACAGCCGGTTCCGCGGTGCTGGCCGCGGCCAACAACAAGGAGACGCTGCTCGCCGGCCGCCTGGTCGTAGGGCTTGGCATCGGTGAGTTCGTGCTCTGCGAAGGGCGCTCTTGACCCTGGTCGCTGCATTCCTTTTGCTCCTCCGGGGTCCCCGTCGGGGCTTGCTGGCCCGGAGAACACTCACCTTGTCTGGTCCCGAGAGCCCATCTGTTTGTTACCCCGGGCTCTAAGGCTCCCGCGGAGGGTGGAGGTGGTGGTGTTAGCTCTGGGCTCCCTTGAGCCCACGTGCAATCTTCGATCGCCCACGGACAAGTGAATCCGCGCGATTGTTGCATGTCCTAGCACTTCTAAGAACCCGAGTCATTACCTTGATCCAGCCCTACCTGATGCCCCTCTAGACCTTATGAGGGGAGAGTCTCTTGCTCTCTATTTTTCTACTGCTAACCCCTTTTCCTTTCTAGGATTCCAAACTCGGAGCCCCATCAGTCTTAAATTCCCAGTAAGATGATTTTTTTTTAAAGTTGAGTGATTCTAGACTGTATTCTTTGCTACTGGTACTCTCCTTCTCTGGTCATTTATCTTTAGGTGGAGTATTATTTTTCCTCTCCTTTTGCCTTTAAAATTGTATTGTCTCATATTTTTCGCAAATGAAGTCCTTCTGTTGTTCTAACTTTTTCCCTTTAAATCCATATCCACCCATTCTCCTTTTTCGTTTTGCCCCTCTTGCTTTCCTGTTGGGAACCAAATTATCTATTAAAGGTCATGTTCACTTATTAAATTCATTTAGGAGCCACTCCCCCGTGGATAAATGCCCAGCAAGATAGATGTTTGCAATTACTTCAAAAATGAAAGGATTAAGGTTCCCTGGGCATTGATTTTTCACCCTGGTTGCTGAGCAGGGGAGGTACAATGGCAAGTTCTTGGCAGAGGGAAGCTATTTGGAATGTGCTCGGTATTATTAGAAAGCACTTCTGAGGGAAAGTAGGGGGTTGAAACATAAATCTCACTAGTAATTTTTCTAAGACATGCTGCTGATGCTTTTTAAATGTTTCATTTTATAAGTCAGTTTGTTTCCTTTAGAGTGCTGTTGAAGTATTTTTCCCCCCTATGGCTAGGGCTTGATGAAAACTCTTTAAACCTGGGACTCCTAACGATTTGTCCATTCACCACTTGACATCTTTTCACCCCCTTCCTTGTAGTCTCTAAGGGGAAGCAAGCCCCATTTATACAATTCCATGTTTAGGAACCATGAGCCTGAACTCCAGCTCCCTGCAATTTATATCCAAAATCTGTCATTGCTGACTTTCCTTTTGTTTCTTGTACTGTTAATCAGTGAAGCAGGGCAAGGCTCTCAGTAAAATATTAAGTTGGCACATTAAAGTCCAAAATGACCAAAAAGTACAGCTGAAATGAAACCTCTTTGTAGAGGAAATACCTGTCCCTTCAGGACCATTCCATAAGTAACTTGTGGTTGAAGTCAAATGATCAGGATTCTTTTCCCCGTATTCTCTGCTTGGGGCGCCTGAACTATGTTGATTGTTTCTTCTGACCTAGAAATAACATTTTAGGCGGCAAGATTTGTTCATAAGAGTGAATCTTGTGATTTTGAAATTGAATAATGTTCTGCAGGGTGAATGAATAATGTTTTGCAGCTTTGAATGAAGCTTCCTAGAGTTGAGGTGTGGCAAGTATTGGTTATTTGGATACTCTGTTTACTCTTTATCTGCTGGGAAAATGTTGTGGGTAAGGTCTCCTCCTAGATGTTGTGAGCAGCAGAATGGTGAGGAGGATTTAACCCAGTAAGAGTAGCAGGGTGGGAATAAAGCCAGGTAGAACTTGCTAGGCTCCATGAGAGGGTCTCTCAGGGAGAGAGAGCTGATGCTTTCAAAAAGGGTACAAAAAAAAAAGGGTACAGGTATCCTAACAGAGGGAAGCTGGAAGCTCTTCCCCACAGAAATGGTATGTTCATGCGTGAGTAGTGTTTTAACAGAGGTGAAGAAAGAACCGTCTAAGCCAGGGGATGCTTGGGGGAACAAGGAGGATGTAACAGAGGATGAAGCAGGAGGTGAGATGGGAAAGGTTGATGTGCGGAACTGCAGACACCTGTGTATCCCACGGCCTCCTTCTGTGGCACCTGGGCTGCTTGTCTGACTGTGCATCCCAGTTGAGACATGGTCCTGATTTAGTCCTGGCGTGACCCATCTCCTCAGAAGGACGCTCTTAGAATAGACGCCCTGATACAAAGTATCCTAAAAGTCTTCTTTAATTATAAAAGGGGTAATGCTGAAGTCATAAGCAGGCTTTGAAATAGACCACATTTTGAATTAGGATTATGCAAAGCATGCAATTGTACATGTAAAATCTTTAAAACTCACAAAGATTACTAACCTCCCAAAGGAGAAGTCAGAGTTATTTTTAGCTACAAGGAAATGGGTCCTTAACAGGAATTTTTGGGGGGGGTCGGGGGGGGGACACTAAATCCGTTTTTGCTTGCTTAAGTACACTAAATCTGGGTGAATTTCATGCTACTTTTTCTTTGAGTAAATTTTATGGGAAGTGGGAAGGTTTTTTTCGTTTTTGATCCTTTTAATACTTAGTAAATGTTGATGAATAACAAAATGTGGCTTTTGCTATTTTTTTTTTTTTCCAGGCAAAGTTTGCAGTGGTAATTTCTTTCACAGATTTACCTGTGGTAAAATATAAAGCCCATGGGGACAGGGCTTTTCATTTTGTTCACTGATGTGTATTCCTAGACTATAGGAGGCCCTTACTGATTGGAATAGTGAGCAGAAACATTAAAAAAAAAATAATTCCATTTCTCTTAGGGTACCACTTTAAGATAGGACTGTTCTTTAAAAAAGTGTTATTTTATCAAAATATTTGAAAGGCCATCTCAGGGTTTTATTTTCTAATACTTTAATGCAATCATTCATTTATATATTCAACAAATGCTAATTAAGCTTCCGTTATTGCTTCTGTCAGATTTGGGGTAGGCAGGAATTAGATAAAAATCCCACCCTGGAGGTGTTCATTCTCTAATAGAAAAGGACCATCAACAAACAATTAAAATACAATAGAAGTTTCTCTAAGAGCCAGAAGAGTAGGCAGTTGATTCTTTTGGGGGGGGGGCAGTAAATAGAACACATGGGAGGTTTTACAGAAACATACTTAAAATGGAGTTTGAAGAGTGGGTAGTTCAGCAGTGTAGAGGTAGCTGGGAAAAGAATTAATATTTAGTGCTTTAATTTCTACTAGGCCTCCTGCATTACTTTCCATATATTATTTCATTTAATTCTTCTAACTCTGAAGTAGATGAGAAACGGGTCCCCTTTTGCTGGATGTGGAAACAGTCTATAGCAGTTAAATGACAAGGTCACTGGTACAAAGTCAGGATTAAAAAAGCAAAGACTCGGAGTCTTTTGCTTATATTACTCTCCTGGGCATTTAAGGTAGCATTAACAGCAAGTGTAAAGGCGTACAAAAATCAAAGCAGTATTTGAAGCATAGTGAAAGGTGGTGATGGGGCGCTCATGAAACTAGAATGATGTTTGGCGGGGGGGCGGGGGGGAGTTATGCTGAATAGGGATTATTTGGCAATGCCTAACAGGGACAGTCATGGGAGGTTTTTAGCTATAAATTATGTGATCAGATTAAACATCCTTTGTATCTGGTCTTTTTGCTCCCTGCCCTTTTGCTTTTAAACTCTTATTTTCTTCTCCAAACCTTCTTGCCTCTTTGAATTTTGTAGTATTAGAAATTCTTTGTGGAGATGGTTACTGCAGGGTGGGTAAAGCATAGCAAGTGGCCATGAATTATTGGAGTAGGAAGAGTCTGTGGGGCCTTCAACAGAAACCTTTGAAAAAGATAAAGATAACCAAGCAGTAGAGTGTAGTTGTTAGTCTCTATTAAATGAGTCAGATGGTGAAAGAAGCATCAGAAATTGGGTATTAGTGTTTGAGTTAGTTTAAGGAATCAGTTTTCTTTTTACAACAAAATCAGCTGACTGAGTGCCCATTTGAATAGGGCATTACTTTAGGCTTTTGTTTTCACCAGAGGTTCCTTTGGTTCCTCTGGTTTATTTTGCTCTTGTCTTGACATGAGTCTTGGGACCAGACTGTCTCATTTAGTCATTTCTCCACGGTGTTGGCATTTACTCTACTGCTCATTATAAGCAGTGATTTAGTGCCTGTGTAGCAAATATCAGGAAGTGTCTAAATTCAGATATTCACCAATATTCAAAACCTTTACTGAGAATTGACATATTAATTTATACAGCACTGGGTTTCTTAAATTAATCTTAGATCTGCATCAGTTTTTCCTGTCTCAATACTCCCTCTACTGGAACACAATTTGTGACTGCATATTCCAGCTTGTAATCAGTCTGTTATAACCTGTAGAGTAATATTTCTAAAAATATAACTTTTTTTCAAATAGCACTTTGACTTCTTTGATGCAAAGCAAGTGTAAAATCTTGTTTGATCAAAAACTCATTCAGTACTGAGATTAATGTCAATAAAGAATTTAGGTAAGCAGGGTTAGTCAGAATCAACCAGATTTTTAAAATATCAGCTGATGTGATTTTATTTTTGTTTTTTGCCGTCAAGTTTGTTTTTCCTACTCCCTGCCACCCCCCACCTCCCACTTTTTCTTTCAGTTTCATCTTTTAAAGCAGGATTTCTTTGTTGGATTTACCAGCATGAAACTGACATGTAAGTAAGTAAAACTTTATTTCACTTCCTCTGTTTCCTTGTCTCACACACATTGTATGTATATGCAACACCCCCTCCACTTTTCTGTCTGGTGGCATTGACATTGTAGAGTTACACTGAGGATTATGACCTAATTATGTTTGCCTAGTAGTGTTGCAACACCATCCTCTAGTGAGTTGTCAGTAGGATGACAGAGAAGTCTGTTAACATGAGTTCTTTGAAGTTGTTCATGTGACTTCAGTAGAAGACATTTCTTTTTCATCCATCCATAGTTCTTTCTATATTTTAAGCTCAAAGTCAGAACCCAGGTAAGTTGACTGCCTTGGCATTGATGTTTTTGGCTTTAACACATCTGCTGTTATAGAACCTGCTG